CTGTCCCTGGCTTGCAGTGCAAGTTTTCAACTTGTAAGCCCACTACATCTGCAAATAAGGTTTGGCAAGCCCTGTGCTGGCAGAATATTTTTAAGACGTTGTTGAGATCAAATGATCCATCTCTTCATGCGATGTGCATAACTCGAGCTCTAAATCATCTGATTTGCCAAATTCAACTGGGCAGTGAGGGAGAGGGAGCTGCATAGATTCCCTGTCAGATAAGTAAGGGTTCGTGCTAACAGTTCTGTAAGACTTCATAAGCTTAAACACTTAACATTATCCTGAGGACTCACCCTTAACGAGCTCCTTTGTATTCAGGTAGCCAGTGGTATAATGGCATTCAAAATAGTACTGAAATAGTTAATTCTGTAGGCTTTGCTGCTCTGTGCTGAGCTCTCTAATTTTGACACATTCACAGGCAAATGCTACAAAAGTGATGAGGTAGCTGAGGTGGAGGTTTTTTGGTGTTGTGTTGAAGTTGGGTTGTCTAAATAAGTTATTTAGCTCTAAGCAATAGACCTAGTAAACTGGGTTTATTTGCAGCTTGATACATATGGTTTCACATATCACTCTCTGCTTTCAGTGCAGCAGATAAGATATCAACACAATTATAAGTGAAAAATAATCTGTCTGCTCTGCCAGTGGTGGATACTCAGAGAGCACACGCTGATACAATAGATTTCTGAATAATTTATACTCAGCATTTTTTCCTTGCACTCGGTAAATGAGGACGCCTAATGTGGCATGGTCAGAGCGATACTCTATCTGTCATCCATTAAGATAACAAGATTGGTGGGCCTGGGAGGAGCATAGCATGGCGCGCAGAAAAGATGAGATTAAAAACTGAAATGTTTGTCCAAAAAGCTCTGCATAAAGGATGCCAATAAAAGCAGCTCAGAAGGACGGAATTAATGCAAAAGTGTGGTTTCTGCAAAGCTTTGTTTGTCTTCACTAAAATAAAAACACAAGATCCATGTTGCTTTCATAAGTTGTGGATAAAAGAAATAGTAGAGCAAATCACTGTTCCTGATAGGCCTTGAGTAGTTTCCTCTGCTTTAAATTCAAGTACTTTGTAGCTGCTATCAAAACCAATTATGTATGACAGTAATGCTTTATGTCTTACAGAATGTTTTTTTTGTATATTCATAAGGCAGTTTAAATTACAAAGAAAGAATCATTTGTGCTTGGTTTTGGCACAGGAGTGTTTCATCTCCCATCACAGGGTGTTAATTTGGATGGGATGCTAGAATATTTGCATAAAAAATTGCTCGTGTAAATATTCAGCCAAACAGATTCCTGTTGAGGTGAATGTATTACAGTAAGTAGTAGCTTTTCCAGGAGTCAGGAGGCAGTAGAAGTTGGTGAGTTTATAAGCGGTGGTGGTTTGCTGTCTCTGAAGTTTCTGACAACTTCTTAAGGTTAGGTCTCATTCAGATTTTCTTGGTTTTTGAAGAAACTGTTGGGGTTGTGTGATCAGATGGAAGTCATATGACAAAAAGCACTTGGAGGAAGACTTAAGCTTGCTTCTAACTTCGCTGTTTGTAGTAAACAGGCCAGCGTGTGATACCTGTACTATCTGGAACCCAGCCTTGAAATGGTTTACATGTCCTTTGCTGTTTAACCGGGCAGCAAGCACCCGCTCTGCCCATCTCCATGTCCTGCAGGGTTTTCTCTTGCTGCAGAGCTGCAGGTAACCAAAGCAGGTGATGTCCAAACCCCTGCAGAGGGACAGACGGGATGCTGTCTGGGGTTTTTAGCCCAATGTCAGGGTTGGGAAGCATTTCTGGGCATGACCCTGCTTGCAGTGCTACCCAGAAGTTGGGGCTTCTGAACCACGCTTGCGGAGGCAGCTGGAGAAGCCCAGCCAAGTGCTCCTCGCCCTCTGGTGCCTGAGCTCCTGTCACTCCCTCTGTGATGTCTTCTGGTTCAGGGTTTGTATGCAAAAAAATTAAATAATGTTTACAGTCTAGGCATTTTTCTTAGTACATCTCCAGAGGAAATTTTAAAGAGTAAATCTTTTCAGTGATGTATTGCTGGAGTTTTAAAACGAGCTTGCCACAAATCTTAGTAGAAATGGTGTCCCGGTGTTGTCTTAGGGAAGAGTGCCTGGGGAGCAGGCACTAACATGTTGTTGGGAAACAGGTCCTTAGTTTTCAGCAGCACCACATTATTCCTTTTTTCACCTGAATATTTTACGGAAATAAGTTCATTTTTCTTTCGGTTTCGTGAGTTAACTCCAGGAAGAAAATCAAATACAGGTGTTAAAAAGTAATTTGTAAAACAGCAATCTAAGCTTCCACAGTTAATGTCCTAATCTGTATCTTTCACTCTGTGTAGGACATTGCCTGCGGGGGTTAGACTGTTGAAGAAACCATCTTCATTTCAACCTGGGGATCTGCTTTTTCTGAGTTTGTTCTTCTTAAGCCTTTTGTATTAGTAATGAGTTCATGAATGCTTTATACTTGATGTCTGCAGAAGTTGGATCACCTTTTTCTGTTGGGCTGTGTGGTCATCGTAGTATGGTGAGGGCTGAGACGACCTCCTCTGCTTTCCTTCCTGATGGGCTGTAATTAAACCCCAGGATAAAAGGATGCAGAACCTGTGTCTAAATGTCAGAACAACGGATCAATCAGTGGTTGCCATTAGCTACTGGTTATATTTTGGTGATGTACAGGTATATTTGGAGGAGGCTGTTTCCTCTTTTCCCTGTCTTGGGTGACACTTTAGACGCTCATATTTCATTTCAAGTAGTGCCGGGTCAGTAAACCAGAAGTCTCTTGATCATGGATGCACGGCAGCCTCTTCCCCAAACCACACGCAGACAAAGAGGAGGCTTTGGAGGTTGTTTTTTTTTTTTAAATTACTGTAGTTGTTCAGCATGGTGAGACAGTTGCTGCACAAGAGGGTCATTTTTCTTCATTTGGACCATTTCATTTGGGCCAACCTGTCCGGCTGGTGGTAAGGGAGTTATTCCATAGGTGCCTGTGGGTGCTTGTTTACACACAGCACTGGATTAAGCTGGGGTGGCTGTGGGGGAAGCTACCAGTCTTGGCTTCCCCTGTCTCTTTCCAACTGAAAAATGGTGACCGAATAAGCCATATAGAGACCCTTGAACCAGCAGGGTTCACAATTTCTGTCTGTTGTATTAAACTGAAATAGATGCTATGGACTCCTCACTGTTCCAGTTAGCATTGTCAGCAATTACTGTAGAGCTGGGCATAGCAATTAGGGGACTATCAAAGCAAGAAAGTAGTAAGTGAATATTACTGTAAATTTTCTCCTCAGTAAGTAAACAAATGTACACACGCTTGCCATACTTTCCATTGCAAAGATTCGAGCAGTGTTGTTGATCGAAGTGTGGAATATAAAATAGCAATGTTATTGATAACTTAAACGGTTTTAATTGTCTAAACAAATAGCTTTAAATTCTTACTTTGTGTCCACTAGCTTAAGGAAAAGAAAGAAATGAAGAGGTTTTATTTACCTCTTTGATGGCAGTATAAGGTATCTTCTAAACCAGAGGAGCTAACCTCAGGATGAAGCTTGCCTGTGCAAGAGCTGCAGAAAACTATTGCCAGGGGTTATGTGATTAAGGAGGCATTTTAGCTCTGACTGAATTTGAGTTATTTTCATAACATTAGCATCTATAGCATGTTGGGTGTGCGAGGAATTTATGACCAGCCCTTACTGATTGTGCCTGCCCTACCACTCCCTGATCATATGGCCAGAAACTCGCCCAGTCGACTCTGGACGATAGGATTTTTGGCTTTTGAGCTACTCACCTGTCTCAGTGAGTGCTTCTAGGAGACCCAATTTTATAGCTTACCATGACTGCATCTTTAGACAAATGCATTGTGGGCGCAGAGCTATCGTCTGTGGCATCAAGTTGACCGCTTTCCTGTAGGGTGTAAACCTGTGGCTGGTTGAAGAGTTTTAACCTCTCAAGTCCTCCAACAAATATTAAATCACTAACTGTTCTTCCATAATGCTACAGTGTTGACTGAGATTTGACCCTGGTGCTTGCTGAAATGATTTTCAAAATGTGAGTGAGAAGGTTAAATAGTCCTGTCAAATTTCCAAACGTCTGTTGCAAAAATACTTTCACTGAATATCTGTGGGTTGAGCTCTAAAATGCTTAAAATAATCCTTTTTTCTTCGTTATTATATGATATTATCTAAAGCTTGATTTTTAATTCAGATAAAGAAATTAACTTGTTTTTTGCCTTTTTTTCCGTGCCAGCTAACCTTGCCATTTATGGCTGGTTTTCTCTCTTTTACTTGCCAAATGAGGAATCCAGTCAAATCGTATTCCTTAAGTACAAACCAGACCTCTAGTTCTCTTTAATTTCTGTTCAAGATCATTGTAATTACTTGATTATTTTCACAGCTGTATCTGAATAAGAAAAAAAATGCTGTAATTGGCAACTTTTACAAGTTCACAACTCAATAACCTGATGCTGGAACTCTTCCACCTGCAGAAGCCTCATTAATTGCTGTAGGAGTTCCAGCAGCTAAGAGATCTGGGTTTCAAATTATTTCTGTTTTTACGTGCAGCTTTCGCACTAGAGAATCTCTGCAGTAACAAAAATAGACGGGACCTTTAGGCTGAGCGAGGCTGTTGGTTGTTGGATGAGCGTTTGGCTTCCAAGTGGATCTGTTAGGAAGGCTGTTGTTTACCCGACTCATTACTATATCCATAAGCCCAAACCATTTTTATTTCAGCTTTTTTGTAAAATCTAGGACTTCATTTCCTGAATGCTGTTACTAGTTCTAGTTTTGTTTATTTTGGACTTAAGTAACATTATTTAATTAGTTTTTATTTAAGAGATGAGTCTTATGTTGCAAGAAACAGTACTAAATTATAATAAGACTGAGTCTTTAAAGATGCCATACACCAGCTGTAACTTTAAATTTATTTTGTTATTTTAAAGCAATGTTAGTGCCTGTCTCTAAGGGTTATGGGAAGCTCAATAGTTTATTTCTTTTTTTCTTGATTCCAGGGCTTTTTCCGCAGGAGTATCCAGAAGAACATGGTTTACACATGTCACAGAGATAAAAACTGTGTTATCAACAAAGTTACCAGAAATCGCTGCCAGTACTGCAGACTACAGAAGTGCTTTGAAGTGGGAATGTCCAAAGAATGTAAGTTATCTTCGGAGACAATTTATTGTTTGTCATATCCTACATATATGTGGCAGTCCCAAGGGAGAAAAATATTAAGCAATTATGTGATTTCGTTAATATGCAGAGAAAGGAGTATGAATTTTACACACAACTTCAGACCTGTACTTTGCGAACTTCCGAGTCCTTGAGTTTGCAGCCTAAATGCCGTCAGTTAAGAACTTTGAGTGCAACGCACTGCCTGTGCGACGTGGCCAGCCTGCACGGATGTGAGAACGACCAAGTCAGTAATTTCACCAGGTTTCCTAAAAGAATAAAAGCACAGATGACCTCCTTCAAGATTGGATTATCTCCCTTCTGCTCTAGAAATGGCTTCTCGGGGCAAGGGCATAAGGGGAACAGCTGCTTAAGCTCAGTTTCAGTCCTCCCTCTGCCTTGCAGACCGGCTCACGGCTTTGCTGGGCTTGGTGTCAGCCGGTGCTGAGATTTCACAAGGGCTTCCTGATGGTGCGGCAGGCAGCAGCCTGCTTCAGCCTCGCACCTTCTCCCTCGTGCCAGTGCAGGTGCTTGTGCCAGTGGTTCTTCTTTTAGTGATGGTGCCAGTTTGTGCCAGTTTACAAAGCTGATGGTACAACGGCCTTCAGTCTGGGTTGGAACCTCTCTGAAAGGTGCAACAAGCTGGCAAAGCCTCTTCTCAGCCTGCAAAGCCGGTAAATCTGACTATGGAAAAGTGCTGCCACGTGCACAGAAAACACAAAGGATTTTCCTTTGGTTCTCTTCTAGAAATCTCTAGTTTGCCCTTTAAATTAACGTTTTAAAATACTTAGGTAGAAATCTGTGATTTTTCTCTTTTTCCAGTTTATTGATATCCCTGTCAAGCATGAAAATTTAGCTACAAAAGCCATTCTCAAATCCCTAAGGGATAATGCTTCTAAAGCTTTCTCATTTTTGATTGGAGTGATTGCAGTAACAAAAAAAGTCTTTGCTGCAGTGATTTGTTTGGTTGTTGAGAGTTTTTACCTCTGTCAGTGATGTTCCTGATTTCAGTAGGTCAATTCCAATAATAAACACTGCAGCAATTTGCAGCGTGTGCATGAGAGAGAGGGAAAAATTGCCCAGCACCGCTTCTTTACTTGAATTCAACCACAGGAGTTCCTTGGCAAGACCTAAGGACCAGAGGAAAAAAAAATTACACCGATGAGACATATGACTGAACTGTGGCTTAAATCAGTTCTCATCCTCAAGCATTTCTCCTTCCTGAATTGTGTGGGACTTCCCAGTAGTTCCCGTCTCTGTACTTGGGCAGGAGCCAAAGAGGTCCCGAAGTCACACTGGTCCCTCCTGGTTGCATCCTATTTCTATCTCCCACCCTCTCCTTCCTCTCCTCTCAGAGGAAGATCGTTGAGGAGCAGAGGAAGAACCGGATGCATCTTTAGGACCACTTTGCAGTGTTTCCAACTCCTTGTCATGGAAACCTGAAGTTACGGTTATTCAAAAGGGCCAACAACAAATTTCAAGCAACTAGGGGAGCTAGAAGGTCTTAGGATTTCTATGATTTTGCTGTCCTTGTTGGGTGTTCTAGTTTTCTCTTGTGCCTGAAGTGCACTTATCTATACTTACGTATAGATTTACTGGAGTGGAGACCTTGATGGGAGTAAAGGAGAAGGTAGGCTGGATAAGAAGGCACGCAAAGATGTAAGATTGAATGAGGGTTTTATTGATACGTATTTGACCGCATGTATCTGTGCACATGAAGCTTTTTTGCTTGATAAAAACAGTATGAGGCAGTTTGGAAGAGAAGAAAAAACACTTTTCTCACCTGAGGGCTTGTTGATCTTGAATTCTGAGGGATTTTACTGCTGACGTGAAGTAGTAATCTTATTAAATGCTGTAATGTCACATCAGAGTAGGTTTTGGAAATACCAGTAGTCTTTCTAACATCTTAACCAAAGTTCCTTAGGGTAAAGTATAAAGACTTACTGCCTTTTAGGTGACAGGTTGCTTTCTCCCATAGGGTAGCTGGAGCTTTGCCAACAAGAATGAAGGTTTTGCTCTGCCTGTTTCCTTGGGTGAACTGAGTGAAATTGCCCTTTGGCGGCTGCCTTTGTCTCAAACCACTGCAGGCCCTTGAAAGGAGGATAGCAGGTTGGAAGGGGAACAGAGGATACTGGGGAGAAGTGAGGGATGTCCTCTGGCTGCATTTCTGTAGAAGGCCTTTGCAAAGGAATAGAGAAATTATTTTAAATGTCATCAGTTTGAGTGCAGTGTGTCTTTGGTTTAAGAACTAAGTCTGAAGTGATTCCGTGTTATCCCTTCGTAAACAGGAACTTTTCATCTCTTAAGAGATTTGAAAAACTATTTTCTTATCTGACCTTCTTTTGTACATGTCTCCAGGTTTCAACTCCTTTTCTTTAGAAGTTTAAGTAAACAAAGGCACGTTACTCAGTGGGCTTTTTCTTAGCAGGCAGAGGTTTTTCTTTTCCCCCAGTACCTTATTCACCTTTTGTTTTTCTGTCTTGGTACAGTCCTGTTACATTGTAATGTTAAAGTCGCAAAGAAAGGACAGAAAAAATTATCAGAGAGATCTCATAGGGAAACAAACCTACAGTGCTCAAACCAGTCGCAAATGGGGAAGGTAATCACGGTGGGCAGCTGCAAATAGGAACAGCAAGGTCTGTTCCCAGGAGCTAAGGAGGAATAAATGCAGAATTTCAGTATAGAGAATAATCTGTCCTTAAACTCTGCAGTCCTGTGTTTATTTGTTCTGCCTTTAAAGGGCATGCAAAAGTACTTGCATATGCGACTCCTTTGGAGTTTAATGAGCGTTACACACAAACATCAGAGATGAGAACTGGCTGCCCAGCCAGTGTGGTAAGTAAGGTTTTTAGAATGGAGGTACAGTGTTTTGGAATAGAAGAGGTACCGAGCATTTCTTATATGCTTTTATCTTGTTTTAGAGAATGAAGTGAGATGAGGAAGGAATGTGCCAAATTTGCATTTCTTTATGGGTTGTTTTGGTCGCGTAGGGGAAAATAGTTATCTTCGACCCCATGTTAGTCCCCGGATCTGATCAAGAGAGGTCAATAACAAGTCTGCCTCCAGGGCAGGAGTGGAGCTGTTTGCCTTGTGATGATATCTGCAGGGCCCGCTGAAACTGGATCCCACCAGTGTAGGGACTGTCTTTCATTGTGCGGTTGCTGTGGCAAGAAGTTTGTGCTGCAAATAGACAAGACAAATAGACAAGACAAAGGGTGTGAGGGGAAACAATGTAGTGATGACTGTCTTATCATCCTGTAACAGGGCAAAACACAGCATGAAATAAAGCCCTGCTGTCTTTCATCGGATCCCCCTCCTTCAGAAACTCCTGAGCTTGTGTCCCTGCAACCTGGGCTGCCGCTCTCGGTGTAAGAGCCTGGAGGCAGCCCCTCCACCAGCAGTGAATCGGGCTTTGGGTTTGTTGTGTGGCCATCCCAGGTCAGTTCATGTGTGGGTGCTCGGGAGTGTGCAGGTGCAGCTGAGGCTCTGCTCCCCACTCCAGACTGTTTCTGTCCTTCCTAGCTTTCCAGCCTGTTAATTTTTTTAATTACCGTGTAGAGACAAATGATGGTCACACAGGATTCTTTTTTTTTTTTTTCTTTCCCACTGCTGCTGAAGTGAGAAGGCTACTAAGGCTGACAGTGGCTCATTATGTGATGGAGAGCCTTAGGAAGCTAACCTTTGCCCTTCTATTACGTGATCCCTCAGCTGATGTTGAAGCACCATCCTTGGCCTGACCCCAGGTGTCAGCAAGAAGCACACTGTTGCCTGGATGCAGGGACCGAGGTCCAGGGGAGCTGGCGAGGGGTCACGCGTACGGCCCTGCCTCCCGCAGTGAAGGGAGCGCGCGGGGAGCTGGGCAAAACTCTCCAGCAATGACAGGGTCTCTGAAGCAGGGCGCTGGAACCTATGCTCTGTAAGTTGAGGCCTGCCCTGAAAGAAAACCTCAACCGGGTTTATTGCAGGGTACAAGGGGGAGGAAGATGGAGCTTCTGTCTGCCACAGCTGCTCGGCTTAGCCCAGCAGCTCTCCCGCTTCCATCCTCTTTTATAACATTTGCAGGCTGTCGCTGTGCTGGATGATCTTCCGGGTCCCCCTCAGACACGCACCCAGCCCACGCACCGGGGGTGTGATGCAGAGAAGCCCTCCATCTTGTCATAAGCCTCGTCTGCAGTGAGCTCTAATAGAGCAAAATTATGTTTATAAAGGCACAGAATTATTGTTCCAGATTGCTTCAGTGCACTGAAGCAATGTTCAGATTTGTAAATCTGCTTACAATTAAACTCCCTGGAGGGAGAGAAGGAGGAAGGGAGGGAATGCAGGGGAATTACCATGAAGTGGAGAGAATCCAGTTTTTGTGCTCCGTATTTGTTTTTTAAACTTGCACAGAAATGTCTGTTACTCTCTGTCACAGACTTCAAAGTCTTACAGTATTTAAATGTTCGTGCTTCTCGGAACATATGATTACATTCTGCTGCTGAAGAATAGAATGAATTGATTTACTTATTTTAATTCTGGTATAAATTGGCAACTAGGAAACATCAACTTCAAGAACCGTAATGTTTGTATTTTTTATTTCTGCTTCATTTTTCTTTCAGAATCCTCGGCGAAGCATGATTCCATCTCTAGTGACTGGTTAAGCAGAGGGCTAGTCGGTGTAGTTGCGTTTGAGAAGTTCACGCAGATTTCACTGATGTAAACTTTAAAGTGAATTTATTAGAATGCATGAAATCTTTGTTTAGACCCTTTTACCCCACACTAAAGTGGGTTTTTGTTCTTTCTAGCCAGCAGTAAGCATTGGGTTTAAGAATTGCTTCTGCTTTGCTACAGGCTAGATTTTTAACTAGATGCCTAAATACCACATAGTGGCTGGGGGCTTGTTCAAAAATTCCAGCGTGGTTGCCTCGCCTGCTGACTCCTGACTCGCCTGGCTTTCTCGAGAGGCACGAGCTAAATATCAGAGTGGAAATCACAAAACCCTGAGT